AGAGGGGGAACTTTGTGCTGAGTGCCAGGTTTGGCCAGATGGCCTCAAACCAGACACGTGCCTGTCCTCACGCTCTGCTTCCTGCCTGCTGCAGGAAGGACAATGTGAAGACGATGGCAGATCGAGTCTTGCTGATGCGGTCAGAGCTCCGGTCTCGCCTGGAGTCCCTTGGGACCCCAGGCACCTGGAACCACATCACAGAGCAGATCGGCATGTTTAGCTTCACAGGGTTGAACCGTAAGTACCAAGTGGCCTGGTGAAGGGAGGATTGGGTGAGACAGTTTTGCTGGGGGTGAACTGGGCTGAAGCAGTCCAGGCAGGAATCTCTCAGGGACCTCACTGGAGTCCTGGCATCACTGCCTCTGTGGCTAGGCAGGGATGAAGCATCAGGCAGCATTTTACTAGCCAGTGCTGGAAGTTTTCTGCCTGTGAAAGAGTCAAGCAGCCTCGACTGGTTCTTTGGGCTTTTCTGAGCTGTGGGGTCCCTGCTCTGACCTGATGTCCAATTGTTTCCCCAGCCAAGCAGGTGGAGTACATGATCAAGGAAAAACACATCTACCTGATGGCTAGTGGGCGCATCAACATGTGTGGCCTGACTACCAAGAACCTGGACTATGTGGCCAAGTCCATCCATGAAGCTGTCACAAAAATCCAATGAAGCAAATGAACAACCAAACTTACATGAAGTCACCAAAGCTGTAGTGTGTAGTCTGTGTCTGTCCCTTCTCATGGCTTGCCTTGTTCCACACCTCTTGGGGTTTAATAAAGATGGGGGCAGTAGCTCAATCAGGGATAATCATCTTTTGACCTTTTTGAAGTACCCCTTGCAATGTGGTAAGCCAGTGCCCCCAGGAGGGTGGGGCAGCATGAGCTGCCTTGGCTCTTGTTTGACTGACAGCAGCCTGTTCTTCAGGCACTTAGAGCTGCATCTTTAGCACATCCAAATCAACTCCGTGTAACTGATCAGTTTGGTCTAGGCAAAGTCCAGTGCCAGTGCAATGCGCTGTGGGATAACAGCCCAGTCAGTTGGGATCTCGTACAGCTAGTGAACTAATGTCACTCGGTAGTATTCTGGGGAAGGGGGAAGCTGTTGCTGGCTTTTCCCCTCCCTGAGTTCTGAGCCTTATGCGAGCAAACATTTGTAATTGTGATAATTGCTTCTTTGTGTTGCTGACAGAAAATTAAACCTCCATCTCTGAACACTACCCCTGCCTTCTGTGAAGTTGTGCCTTTAGGCTGTGCTAACCTTGTCCCAGGCTGAGGTTAAAGCCTCGGCATCCTGGTTTGTCCACTAGGTCTTATTCAGTTTCTTTCAAGGGTTGCCCTTTCTCCATCACAGTGTGTTGTACCTCTGATGATCACAGTTGCTACTAATGGGGCACAGTCCTATTTGGAGACTGCAGTTGAGAGCTCCCTGGGACTCTACATGAAGCTGACCAGTTCCTCCCATACCTGTCTTGCATTCCTCTTTCTGCCCCCCCTGCCCTGTGCTGTCTGGCTTGTCCTGTCCATCTGTATGTGGCTGTTTTCTGGATGGCTGTGTGTTACCCATCCATCTGGCCATCCCTCCCTGGCCCAGAGCTCCTGGTCTACCACTAATGTGTTGAAAAGTGGATCTTTCCTGTTTCTCTGTCTCAGCAGGCCCCTAGTGAAGCACCACCTACTCCCTCTGGCTTCAGCAGGGCCTGCCAGCAACAGCCTGTGTTTCTGGCACTGAAAAAGAGCTGGAACCATCTGCTTCTGCTCTCTGTCGGATCTATTTGTGAGCTGCTATTACTACCTTGATAGAGCAGCCTTCTGCCAAGATCTTGGTGAAGAAAGAGGAACAGTCCCTTTCCTTGGGTCAGTTAGTGGTAACCACTGCTGCCCTGATGGATTTTGCTTGTGCTGGAGCTTAAACAGCAAAGGTGAAAATGGTGCCTTGTTCCCTTGCTGTCTGCAGAGACAGAGCGTGGGTTCTCGTTTGTCCTTTTCAGATTAGTGTTCTCACTGTCAGGTAAGAGTGAGCCAGAGGCAGCCTCTCCTCCGTGCAGGTGGGGAGCTTTTTCTCCTCTTGGTGTCCGTCCACAGCTGGGATGATGGGGTAGTGGTTAAAGGATGACTTTTAGGGATGATCTCAGGAAGAGTTGAAGGAACCAACTCAGCTTTTGTTATTTCTTGTTACATCTGCCTACACTTCTGTCCTTACAGACCACTAGCTGTGGAGCCTGGCCCACCCCACATGTGCTCTGTCCCAGTGCTTTGCTAGCCTTACCAGGCTTGCTTTCCCTAACGAGTGACCTAAATTTCTCCCTTTCTGTGGTGTAAGCTCATTACCCATGATCCCATTTACCATGGCAACAGAGAACAGATTATTCGTTTCCACTTTGCAACAGCTTTTTTTTGTATTTGCAAACTTCCTCTCTCCCCTTCACATTCTTCACCCGTCAAGATTAAATGACCCTGTTTCCTTCAGCTTTTGGGGTAGGTTGTTTTCCAGCCCTTGCTTTCCTCTGGCCCCCTTTCAAATGCTGTGTGTTTCCTTAGAAGGGTGGTGCCCAGACAGCGATGCAGTTATTCCAGCTGAAGTTTTATTAGCATTGGTGGGCTATGAGATTTCTGTTGTTTGTCAGGCTGTACTCCACTATGTGTATCCCACTATTGTGTCTGCAACAGCATGATATTAACTCTTGTTCTTCCCCAGTCCTTGTCTGCACTGCTATGGTATAATTTTCAGCACTGCTGACTGCTTTCCTGGCAGCAAGAGTGACAAGGAGAAATTGGGAAGCACTTGCTGACCTGGTTCTCTGCCTGCTCCCTTCAGCGATGCTGAGCCCTGTTACTCCAGCCACCTCTGGCCATGGGTGTGAGGGCAGCCCAGCCTGGTGGGAGAGGTTAGCACATCTTTTCACACACCCATTGACACGCACAAGGCATTGCTCAGGGAGAAATAATTTTTAATGTTCATATCCCTGTTGGGTTCAGCCTCTACAAAAACTACTGACTGATCTGTACCAACCTGAGGGCTCGACGTGAGCCTCTCTCGCAGAGAGGAGGATGGTTCAATGCAGCGTGGAGCAGCTCTCTCCAGGGAGGGGGGCTGCGCTCGGCGGCACGCTGGGCTCCCTGCCCTGTGCCTAGCCAGGGTTTGGGAGTGCCAGGCTATGTCAATGGTCGGTGTGTGCGAGGCATTGTGAATGTGTGTGTGGCACTAGGCACGGCACAAACGTGTGCTGGGGCCCTGAGTGGCACCCCCCAGATAGCACATTCTCCTCATGGTGGAGAGCACGTCTGTGCAGCACCCAGCACTGAGGGGCTGCGGGTCTCGCTGGGATGGGGATGGTGGTAAATGATGCTAAGGGCAGTTCTGGGTTGGGCCGCCCCTCCCTGCTCTGCCTGCAGGGATGTCGTGACAGACACTTCACCTTCCCTTTTTCTACCTCTTCCTTGGGACCAGGTGCTACCAGGGAGCAGCTGGGCGAGGGCCCTCAGACTCCAGCTACCTGGCCCATGCTGCCTGGGTGGTTCAGCCCTGCCGGGGACACATCTTTTCTCGCCTGGGGATGGGGCTCTGCACAAGTCCTGCAGGGAGGGGCGGCACGAG